ATAGCTTTTATAGATCAATTTTGATATAGATTAAAAGATGATATCAAATATTTAATATTAAAAATGCCAAAAGCAAATTCATTTGAATGATTTATTCTTGAAGCTATTGCATGCAATAATTAATTCTTTAAAAAACTTGAAGAATAAAGATTTGGTTATAGAGAAGCAAATCAAGTCATAGCAATAAGTTCCACGTTTTAAAAAACTTACTCACTAAGATTGGAAGCTTTCTAAATTAATGCATAATGTTTGAAAGATCACATTAAGTAAGAAAAGACTCAACATTATTAAAAATAATTGTACTTATATTATGGAGAAACTAAGCACATTGTTTATTATTTTCCAAAAAAATAACGCAACTACAAAATAAAGAGCATAATTTTTAAAATAGACAATGTTTTAAAAAAAAAGTTTGTTTATTTATAATAGGAGCTGTGCACCTAAAAACTTATACAATATCTAGTGAAGGTCATGTTCTCCCTTTAGAACCTTCACTTTGTTTTATAATAGATATTTTTTAAAAATCTAAAAATCATAAAGCCTTTAATTTGTTAGATTTAAAAGCCTAATCTTGTTTTTAGATGAAGACTTTGTTAAAAAACATATAATATTTTTAGTAAAGAAAATTAAGCTTATATATGTAGAAGTCATAAATGGTTATTATTTATCTTTTAAAAATACTTTCTATGAAATTATTCTTATAGATGTAGCAATAAATGATTACAATAGTTTAGTGATATTTAATATTATTAGATTTCTTTCTAACTTAGTCATTTTAGAATTTATTGTGGCTACAAAAGCATTATTTTTAGATCAATTGGATTTCTTTAATTTCAATTTTTTCCATAGCATAACTAAGATTTTGCTAAGCTAATAGAAAACCATAAGTCTAGTACAATCAAATTCATGTTTATATGTGCAAAAGCTTTTATGTATGCTTTTAAATATATATATATATATATATATATATATATGCCAAAACTATTTCTAATAGTAAAGAAAATTCAAGTTGTTTTAAAATTTGATATAAATATTATTAAAAAAAAATAGAAATAAAATATAAATATTTTTTTAAAGCATTGTCTTTATGATTGCTCAATTGATCTTATGATTGCTTAATTAATCTTCAAGAAAGAATTCAACTATTATTTGAATAAATTTATAGCTTACTATAAAATATGCTGATTGCTTTTAAAAAATATATTTTTTAATTTTTTTATATTTTATATATATATATATATATATTGAATTCAATAAGATTACCATCAAGAGTATGTATCTTTTATATTTGGTATTAGAACTTCTTGATTAATTAAGTCAAAAAAAGATCTATAATAAAATAAATTTTTGAAAAGCATATAACTTGGTGTACATTAAAAAAATAGATGGAACAAAAAATATGTTTCAAATTATATATGATTATTTTTAATATAATTTAATTGATTGATTGATTGATTGATCCAAATCTCTTTTTTCTTTGTCCTAATGTAGGTCTTGGTCTCCTTGTCTCCTTTTCCCTTGTCCCAATGGTGGGATCTACATTAAGGCAAAGAAGAGAGAGAGGAGGTCAAAGACCCACATTAGAATAAGAAAAAAGAGATTTGGATTAGCCAATCAAAAGCCTTGGACGTATGTATAGACATAATGGATGTATGTATGATAATTTGGAGTATGCTTGTAGCTTGAGTCATAAAACATTATGAGATTTAAATTTAAAATGACTTTTTTGATTGGTTGGAATAATATGGGAATGATGATTAATTAAAAAAAATTAAATAAATAATAACAAAAAAGATAAAAAAAATATCAAAAACAAAACAAAAATAATTAAAAAAAAATTTTAAGAAATGAAAAAAACCTAGTTCATTATGTAATTAAATGATTTAAAGTGTTTTTTTAGTAATTCAATATAAAAAATAGTGAGCCATAAATTCAAAATCAGAATATTAATAATTTAGAAAATTAAAGTATTTTAAACAATCACAAACAAAGACAATTGATTGTATTTGGAGTGTAAAAGAAAATTTGAATTTCAACAACACAAAAAGGCATTTAGTATGTACACAATAAGGTAAGCACGATGTACTCACAATCTGGATCATTTGTCTCTATTATGTAATATATATAATCATCTAATCAATATAAAGGTGATGAAGAGAAATTGGAATTGTTAAATGTGATGGAGAATCTCAGATTTGTTCCTTAAGTTTGTATTCCTTTATTTCATTTCTTTACTTCTACTTTGGAAATTTAGAAAAGTATAAATAAAAAGATATTTTAAGATTTTGGTAATTCTTAAATTAATTTTCCAATTATCTACAGAAATGATAAAAAAAAATGTCATCTTATTAAAATGCAAGACACTTACTTTCTCTATCTTTATTCATTGGTATATTTGATAATAAAATTATAATTGAAAAAATTATTCTAACTAAATATAATAATGATAATTAGCCATATATCTTGCTGATCTTATTTGATATGTGTAATGGATAATAATGTTTATATTTTCGATTAAATATAAAGCACCCATGTATTAACGTTCATGTTGTTTAAGTTTGATAAAATTGTAGAGATTAGACAAAGAAGATGAGATCTAATTATAAGCTTGCACAAATATTAATTTGGATAAATCAAAATAATTTTAATTTTAATAGTAATACTAAATAAATATACCAATAAACAATTGATGCTCTCCATGAAAACAAATCATAATTTTTCTTTTAAAATAGTTGCAATAAGACTTAAAGAAATCTTGTAGGGCATTACATGGAGCCATTCATATTTTCCACATATTATGCTCTATTTTCCTTTTCTCCTTCAACAAGTTAAACCCTCTATTAGATTTTATAGTGACACTATATCTTTGGTTTTTATTTTTATTTTTCTAAAAAGCTTTTGCTGTTTCTTCTTATGTGATACTTTCTAATATTTCAAAGCCACAGGAATACTTTATGGTTTTGAAAAATGTGAAGATTTTATTTCTAACCTCTAATTTTATCATTACTTAAACATTGGTACAAATAAAATTTTCAAGCAATTTTTTTGGCGATGAATGAGAAGGTTTGTTAAAAGAAATATATTTAAATATCTTATGTATAAATGTATGTATGTATGTATAAAGTATTATTATTCGGATATTTTTGTAGAAATAATATTGGTATTTTACATGATAATAGTAATAATAATATATTTAATTGAAGTAAATGGTTTTTTTAATAATAAATAAGTGGGGGTTTTAGTAACTATGAAAACAAATGTTTTGAATAGATCACAAATAATATGAAATCATAGTAGAAATCATCTTATGAAACTGATGACCATTTTCAAAAAGTATATCTTATTAACATGAGAATGAATCATGGATGTCAAAACATTTATTATGATCATATAAAAGATGACCTAGTAATTAAATGAAACTCTAAAATACCTCAGTGTAGTGTGATTTGACACAAAAGTGTAAATGAGTTTACACTAATAGTCCTTCATTTCTCTTGATACTCTTGGTTCCACCTTCTAGGTATAAAGAGTTAAGTAGCTTGATGTGCTTTAACTACTTCATTAGTGTATTGGATATACAAAAACAAGGTATTGGATATACCTTGTTTTTGTATCATATATGTATATATATATATATATATATATATATATCTAACAAAATAATGAAATAAATTTAAATCATAGAATTGATATATTTGTATTATTTCTTGATTATAATATCACGTATTAAGAAACATCAAGATTGTGCTTTTATTAAGATTCAAGAAAACTTCTTTAACTACAAACCATTGCAATGCATTAAAAATTTTAAAAAATTGATACAAAATTAAGCAAAAAAATTATACAATTGAAAAAACCAAAAATAAGTAAAAAAAACTATTAAGCTTTGATTTTTAATTATATGCATTTTGAAATATCAATCTGTGATTTTATGTATCTTTGAAATTTTTATTTTCTTTTATAATACACTATTAACATAAATTAAAATGTTTACAATTTTTTGGAACCATTTTAAAATATGTTTTATAGTATTAACTAATAGAAATAAAAAAAACTTGTGATATTTAACTTAAAATATTAAACTCAAGATCACTACTTTTCTGTAGTTCACAACCAAGACATAAGAAGTGGCCAATAAATACAAAAAGCCTAAAGACTACAACTATGATAGATGTTATGATTATTATTACAGATTGGCTATGAAATCATTTTTTTAAAGTAATATATATATATATATTCATTTTTTACATTATTTTATATTACAAAATAATTGCATTAGTTTGGCATGAGATGTTTAGATTACAAGTAATGTATTTGTATGGATCAAAACATATATTCAAAATATGCACTTCATAGCTAGATTTTCTCTTTTAAATACTTCAATGTCATGTAATTTTTAAATGATGTTAATGTTGACATGTTAATTTTTACATTTATGCTTTATAAGTAATTGCTACTACTTACTTTAAAATGTCAATCAAGATAGTATATAGAATTTGATTTTTTTTGGATTATCTTTTTTCTTTAAAAATTTGATATTTCCACTTATTGATGAAGTCATTCCTTCCAAAATTTCCATGTACGACTTGAGAATTCTCATTGTCATAATTTGGTGGATTTCATTGTAATTGTAATATTGTTTTATTTCCTACTAACACCAGGCAAGTAGACCTTCATACTAGAAGTATTCCAAAGTATTTAACAGAAAATACCATGATAAACAAAGGATTTCATACTGCATTACATCCTCAAGGATTGAGCCATACCCCACACATTGATCAACATGATCTAGAACCAAATTTATGCACAAATAAACCGATTTAAAACTGGATACACAAAAAAATTTAATTCTGAATCACGGATCTCTCTCCCCGCTTTGAATGCTTATTCGCATAATTCACTATACACGTTTTCGCAACAGAGGATCTGAGTTTATTAGTTAACTGCTTCAAACGATTATGATTGGAAAGGCAGCAGTCAGAAGATCAGATCAGATCGGATGATCCTGAAAGTAAAGCTGGGTGATCGTCCATTTACTTCATTTCTTTTTTGTTGTACAACTCCTATAATAATTCACACTTGACAGTAATATTCCTGATGACACTGCGGAGATTTCAGTCACCAGAAACAACTCCAAGTTGAAAAAGGTCTAAACCTAAATCACCCCTGTCATCCCACTATTCACAATAATCTACAGAAATTGAGGTACATTCTTTTTCACCAACTCTAACTGAATGCCATAGTTTCCCAAAAAGCTTCCCCCACCTCTCTCACAAAGAAATTTGCAGAGCCAGGTTTTAGAGATTTCCAGCTACAGAATATCTCAGCTGATTTCATGTGCTGAAAAATATTTGAAATGCTGACTGCTAAGTAAAGTGATTTCTATCTAAGTTCAGCAAGAGCGTGAATTAACTGTTATGTTCAGCCGTTTGGGCGTGAGTTTCGCCCTCTTCTGCTTCCTTGGACTCTAGTTCAGGAACCGCAGCCAACTCCATCTCCACTCGGTTATCTTGATCCAGTACTTTCAGGAAAATTGGATCAACTTTGATATCGCTGTTCACTCTCACCTGTAAATATATATAATACACAACCAAAATGGTTATCAAATAAGCACATCTTTCTCAAAAATATGGTAAAGAACCCAATGCTTGCTACATTCACCGTCTTGATTGCCATATGCCGGACAATGAAGATAATGATGCCTATGATTGAAGGCCAAGCAGAGGATGAAATCAGAAGCCACGGAAGGTGTGGTGACAACAGGGTTGGAGTCTCTCATGAAGTGGATTGGAATTGAATTACAAGAGTACCTCCCAGTTGTGCCTTATTTTCCAGACGATAGCATCTCCAGTAATTGTGACGACAGCGCTCATCACCATCTCACGTTTCCTAACATCCTGAAAGAGCTCTTTTAAGTGTTCTGTTATCTTCAACCCGTCCAGCTTCGCAGGGATTTCTATCACTTGGTCACTCCGGGCATCCTGACTCCCTGCTTCCACCTGTTCCAGAAAGGGGTAAGATTAAGACCTTTTACACATAAAACTACATATCATATAAACCCTCACATTCCACAACAATTCCATCAGCACAAATCAAAATCGGCCCGTACTTTTCAATCACATCGATAATGAAAGCATGGGAAGGAAATCCTCTACGAACACTAAAATGCCACGTCCGCTGTCATGGGATAACATTAAAGAAGGGAACTGCGGCATGAATCATAAATGCTGACAGTGACGAAAACCTATAAGGAAAATATTGTAGCAAATTCCTTGGTTAAAAATCCTTGGCATAATCATGGTCAGCAATGTGGTCACAGAATGCATCTCTGAAAACCCAAAATCTCCCCTGATTACGAAATAAATAAAAACAGGCCAGGTTCAACATGAACTCAACAAAATTCGAGGACAAGAAGAAAGGCTATCAAGGTTGCGTACATCAGCTGTCCCCATTTTCGTCCCCCGATAGAACATGACCATGGTGGTGCTGGTGTACTTGATCGGCGTAATATTCGGGTTCGTCACCTTGATGGAAATCTTCATAGCCACATCCACCACGGCGTAGGGAATCAACGACTCCGTCATCCACCGCACCTTAAACCCACTCAACTCTATGTGAATAACCTCGAATGAGGGGTCCTTAGGCCGAATCTGCCACAACACATACGCAGCGCCTCCAATACCCACAGCGCCAACAGCGCCCACCAAGGCCATGGCTGCCTTACTCACACTGCCACTTCTGTGTCTTCCGCTAAAATCCACCACGGTCATCAACGCCTCCACGCACACACAGCTCTCGTCCCCAGCAATTCAACAAGATCTTCGCCACCTGCTGAAACATTCGCGAATCTGCCTCAAATTGCTCCAAGGAGAAAATGCAAAACCCACGTCAAATACCCTATCCTTCCTCAATCCAACGTTCCCGACAAAACCCTACTTTCGGATTCGACGCTTTGAATCCTCGACCTCGGATTGGCTCCGTAAATTTCCATAGTTCCTCGCTTTCGGTTGCTTGCGCTCGGAGAGCCCGAGGATGCGACACGTGTTGGATTCCACGTGTGTAGTCTTGGGAATGCCACGTGTTGGGCTCAGCATTGCCAGGGGCTCACGTGGCTGATACCCGGATGGGTGGAGTCGGCGTTGCAATGGCGAGGTGTCAACACCGGTCATGGTTCTTTGATGGCGGAGTTCGATTGCTTGGGTATGACCCTCGTTGTAATATTATATTGTACGTTTTAAGAGAAAGGCTTTGTGACTTAAGATTCATATTTCATATATGGTTAACTCAAGTGCATTAGCCAATTTTAATGGGTAGATGATGAATTTTTATAGTCTAACTTGAATTAGCATTTTTACAAATGCTAGATTCCTAAATGATTGTTTAGAGAAAAGCCCTTGAGGACCTCACTAAACCTTTAAAGAATATAAAGACTTGAATGGATTGGAAAGATTGTTATAAGTTTTATAACAGTTATCTTGTAAAAATTATCTTCAAACATGATATTGTGTATTATTTTATATTTATCCTAGGAATAAAAAAATCCATAGAATTTAGGATTTTTCTACTTAATTTTTTATATATTTTTGGTATTAAAATCTAAAGAATGCCTAATAATAATAATAAAATATTATTATTATCGATTTAATAATTAAATTACTTTTATTTTTTTAATTTTAAAATATCATTAGAAAAAGTATTTGTATTTATTTTTGGAAATAATTTTTATCAATATTAAAAAATTATGAAACAAAAACTATTGATAATAGATATAATAATTAAAGAAGAATTTTAGAAGAAGAAATATAACAAAATCACATATTATTTTAATATAATAAGTATTTAGAGGATTTATTTTATTAAAATGGTGTGCCAAGAATATGTATTTTTATAACAAATTATGATTGATTTTATGTTTTGATGAAGAAAAAAATTACAAGATAATTTTAAAATTATTATAAATTTTTATATTAAAAATATACATAGTTCACATTAGAATTTTAAATTTTTTTATTTTTAGAAATATGATGCTATGGAATGTTAGATTAATGACTTCTTTTTAAAAATATTCATCAAAAAATAACCAAAGAATCAATACACTCTTCTATCACTATAAAAGATTAAATATTTACTTGAAGATAGTTATAATATTTAAATTAGAATTGCTATTGTCAAAGACAAAAAGATCAAAGATTCTTGAAGTAAGACTAAGAATAAGAAAGCCATTGACACGAATGAAGAAGGTCTCACTCTTGCCTCTATATATACTATTTTATAAAAGAGCTATGTGGTGATGTCATGGACGTACCTATAGTTATCCTAATAATATGAATAAATAGAAGTAGATAAAATTAAGTTAAATTGATAATATCTTGTGGAAAAGCTTCTTAGAAGCTTTATAGATGTAGTTTCATCTTTATAAATGTGTATAGGTGATTGATAGATCAAAAACTTTGCCAACAAGTTAGCCATATATCACACATATTGATAGCTTGTAGTACAAGCTAACAATATTATACACATATAAAAAACTTGTTTTGCAAATTAAAACATATTTCTTCCAAATTGGACATGTGTTGAAGATCTTATAGAATGTTGTCATGTAGCTCTTAGGTAGATAGTATATATAGAGGCAAGAATAAAGTCTTTTTCACTCTTATCAATTCTTTTCTTACTTCTACTCTAGTTTCAAGAGTCTCTAATTTTCTAACCTTCTGCAATAGCTATTCCTATTTTTTATTAAATATATTTATTTTATATTTATATTTAGTTTTTTATTTCTCTTTGATTAATTTTTTACCTTTTTACATATCTTCTTTGAATACTTGTCCTTGACTTATGGCATTTTATAAGTCATTTAATACATGTCCAATTTATAAGACACATGTCTAATTTATAATATAAGTTTTTAATATGTATGCCACATAGCCAACTTGTTGGTTTAATTTTCAACCTGTTAATCACCTATAAATACTTATGAAGTTAAATTTGTATCTAGAGAGCTTTTAAAAAGCTTCTCCATAATATATTATCATATTTACCTATTCTCATTTACTTCTATTTAACTTCATTTATATTAATAATTATGAATGTTGATATATATGTTAGTGGCATTATTCTTCTTTCTAAGAACAAATTTTACAAAAAGTGGTGATCACATCTTGATGAAGTATAAGATGAAGGAAATTGTATTTTTCACATACTTTAATCTTTGTTCTCTTTGAAGATAGTTGATAGGTCTTATCAACCATTGATAATATCTTATACTAAGATAACAAGTTCATTCTATTATTTAATTACTATTGAGGCCTTTCTAACTTCTTTTAAATAAAATATTTCAAATACCAAAAAGAATGTTTTTTTTTCTAATAATATCACCAAATATTAAGAGTTTCTTCAAAGGTTGTGATACCAAATATGTCTATTATCATTTATTTGAAGAAGAACATGTCATTCTTGAAGATCTTTATTTTTATTATATTATCTAAAAAATCATAACAATCTCAATTATTTATCTAATAATTCAAAAAAAAAATCTAGTTGTTAATTTTAAAATTTTTAATTCCAAAAATAAAAAATAAAAAAATAAAAAATAAGTATAAAAGATAAAGTGCAATCTTTATTATATCTATTTTAGTTTATAACAAAGATTTTTTTACTTTTTATCTTGATTTTTATAGAAACTATTGATAAAAAGTATCAACTTTTTTTTCCTATATTTGTATGATTCTTAGATTGCTCTAATGTACATTCACAAATATCATATCTGTACTAATGTATAAGATATTCTAATCTATTTCCATGCCATATTAAGTCTAAGACCTCCTTATCTCAAACTTTTGAATATTATCTACTTTTAAAAAAAAGTGGTAATTTTCTTCTTTTCAATATATCTATTGTCTTGTATAGCTTAAAAAAAAGATATATAGAATGTATGACAAATCATCATAAATTTTAGTATCATATTACATGAATTCTTATTTAAAAATGGACTAGACACTTAATTTTGGAAAGTAAATTAGAAATTGTAACAAAAAAGTTTTAACAAATCTAATAGAATCCTAAATAATTTTTAATTAAATCTCAATAATTTTAATTAAAATCTTAATTAAATCCAAATAAAATCTTAGAAATTATAAAAGAAATATAAAGAAACCATAAATAAATCTTTAAAATATATTTTAAAAATAATTTTAAATAAATAATAAACAATCATAAAAATTATTAAAATAGAGATTCTAAAAAAATAATAAAAATATTAAATTATTAAAAATATAAATACTAAGTAAATATAAATTAAATTCTAAATAAATCCTAATAAAATCCTAATATAGTTCTAAATAATTTTTAAAAATTTCCAAGTAAATCATAATTAAATCTTAATAAAACCATAATAAAATCTTAATAAAATCTTAAAGAAATTTTAAACAAAATCCTAATAAAATCTTGATAAAATTTTAATGAAATATTATATTTTGAAAAAATCTTTAATCAATATAATAACTAATTAATATCTTAATAATTAATAATTCAACTATAGATTTTAATTCAAAAATTTTACATGTCTCAATTATTTACATGACAACAAGCACAAACAATTCTAAGAAGATCAAACTTATAAAATAGAAGATAAAACTCATAATCTACTTAGATGTTGGTTGGCTTCCTTCTTTAACCTTAATGCCTATCTCCCAGTGTCAATGTCTCTTAATTTTGCTATTTAGTAGCTTTTAAATTTTGTAGAATTATTAAAAATAAAGTTTATTATTATTATAATTTTTTTATTTCAAGCCAATTGGCAAATTATTTCAAATCTTAGTAGTCCTCATTGGTCCTTTAAAATGTAATTTTTGAGACTCTAGTATTTTTGTAATTCAATAACATTCAAATGAATTATTCAATCAAGCTTATACTTACAACATATATTTAAAATAATTATAAATATATATATATTTAATACAATTAAATTATAAATTTATAAGATTTCATTTACATATCATCTATCAATCATATAAATTTTTAAAGTATACACTCTTTATATTTTTCAAAAATCCAAAGTCCTTTTAATACAATCTAAAATTTGAAAAGCCTTTATAAAGTCATTACAAAATAAAATCACTTTAAATTAATGCCTAAATATCTTTTTTCTATTTTGCTCTCAAACCCTATTCTTTGTTTTGTAAAAAAAACTCTTGAATTATTTTACGTAAGTGGTTTTGTACCTTGAGGTCTAATTTCAATCTTGGTTCATAGCTAGTCCTCTCTAAATATCAATTCTTAATTTCTTAAGATAATTTTTGCTACAAACTACTCTCAACTCTATTTTAAAGATGTCTATGTTATTTATTTTATTAATCTATATTGTTTTGCTTAAATTATGGCCCTACAAAGTAGATAGAAGTATATCTTATAAATAATAATATTAACACTAAATATTTTTATTAACTTCCTATCTTTTACATGTATTTTGTTATTATATTTTTAATTAGGCTCTTCGACAATAAAATCCATATTTTTATATTACAACAAAATATCAATAGATATTATCAATATACAATTAAATTTATCTATTTACAAATGGAAAATGGTCTCAATCTAGTGGTAAAAACAAATAGTCATGATATTACAAAAAAACAACATATTCCTTGTTGCTAATGTAGAATTAATATTCTTCCTTGCAATAGATATGTGAGTTGATCTTTTGTTGTTCTTAAATTTTTTTAATTGTGTCTTTATTCTCACATGTAGCTCTAATAAATAATTTTCTAAGTCTTTTCATGTAAATTATTAATTTTTGAAGAATAAAAAATATCAAATTATAAATAATAATTATAATTAATATAAAAAGATGATTATTAAATAAAAGAATATATTATGTTTTTATATAAAAACTTTGTCAATGACAAAAGAATTGTTTAGTTATATTAATAGTTATTGATGATACATTTCAAACATTGCTCCAATACTAGATTTATTTTTTTTATTATCTATTATATTAAGAATGAAGGATTAAAGATAGTTTTATATCTAATTTTAATATTTTAAAAAGAATTTTCCAAAATCTAGATACAAATTGAGATGTGTTGAAAGACATGTGTTGACATAGATTATCAAAAGATATTATATGATAAAGATAAAAATATTGCATGATTATATAAAGTCTTCAACTCCTTTTTATATTTGATGACAAAATAAATCTCTTGATATTATTTCTAAGGTCTTCTTGTAATCAAAATGTTTTGTAATTAAAAAGTTATAAAAAACTTAAAGACCACATAATCATGGTTCAAAAATATACCATTGTCACAAATAGAAGCACATGAAAAACTTCATATCATAGCTTTTCATTTAATCTACCAACTATTTATACAACTGACACAAACCTTGAGTATTTTATATTAATTCATGTTTTGATTTGTTGCTAAGCCAATTGAAGTATGTCTTTGTTGAATTTTGTATTTGATATCACTTATTTGCCAAAAATATAATAAATTTCTTATATTATATAGACATAATAGGTGGTCTTCTAACAATTTACACTACTTGTGTGCATGTAAAGTTAAAGATGTTAAAACTTACTATGAGATACAAAAGAGCTAAACAAATGAACAAACAAAACAACAGAAAATTCATGCATATCATGAAAAATATTATTCCATAAAAAAATGAATGATATTCTATTCTTAAGAAATGAGGTAAATAAATCTTGTAAGAAGAAAAAGGATAACAATGCACAAAAAACTACAAAATGTATCCCAAAATAATGATGGATGACTTCAACATGCAATACAAGTACAATATATAAAATCTTTTACAAGTATGGAGTGCTTGTGAAATTAATTTTTTTATAATAAAAAATGATATGTAGATATTACAACATAGTGTCAGAGGATGTAAACTGCAGTCTAAAATTTCACGATGTTAAATTTGAACATCAGTTAACTTAAATACCAATAAAACTATAATTTTCTCAAATAATTTTAGAATATTGGTTTTTTTACCCAAAGATATATTTATATTATTCATCATTGGTATATCATTTGTGTACTTGAATTTTTTTTCTTGATTTACAAAAAAAACTTCAATCTAAACATGTATAGAAAACTTCGATATAATGACAAAATCTGCAAAATTTGAAATATAAACCAAATAGGTTTCCATTACTGCTATATGTTTACATATTGAACGTCTTAAGTATTTTAAGTATTTTTATTTAATATCTAATAAGAATGATATTTTATTTTATGGGAAAAATTTTCAACAAATATATAATCACAATTTAAAATTTAAATTATTTATTTTAAATATAAATATATATATATATATATATATATATATAATTATTTTAATTTTATATATTATGATTGATAAAAAAATTATCACGTTCTTTGATAATATTAAAGAATAATGCTTTTAAGAATTATTCCTTTTGTCTTTTACACAATTTTAGTTCTTTAATTATCAATATTTTTGTAATGTGATTGTTGTATTTAATAATAGTATTTAAAATAAATCATTTTTTCATTTATTTTTATATTTTTATATTTTTTTAATAAATATATATATGTGAATCATTTACTATAAAAAGTTACAAAGTAGCTATTTTATTTCCTTCTATAATTTGACTATACCAAAATTTGACTATACCAATATTCTAATGTATAATTTTTTATCTAATCTTCTTCTTTTAAATTAGTATGTATGTTTTTATATTTGTAAAAAATAAATAAAAAAGATGTTATCCAATAAATCTTCTAATAAAACCAACTTAGATTAATAAAATTACAATAATATATATATATATATATATATATATATATATATATATATTGCAGATTTTTGAAATCTATTAATCATATATTTAAAAATAAAAACACAAATAAAAGCAATCTTATGTAGTTGTATATTCCTTTATTTAGTATTTAAAAAATAAATAATCCATCTTTTTCTTTTATCTCTAACAAGTGATATCTTTTAGTATATTCTATATTGACACCATGCCATTGGTTTTATTGTTATGATTATGATTATTATTATTATTATTTTTATTTACTAAAGAGTTTTCCACCTACTAATTATTAATGTCCGCAATTGCTACAAGTCCACTTTTACCAATTTGTTTTACTAGGCATAATATGGTGAACATGAAACTACTCATTTGTGAAATGGTATTCATCCATGAGGTCAAACCTTGAGGTAATTCTACGACAGCACCTTTGTACCCAGTATTGATTGCTTTAAAAGACCCAATTGACCGGAAAGGAATTGAACTACGTATATCCTCCGACTTTTTTGTTCTTCCACTCTCTCTTATGGTATAACTCCACCAATGAACAACTAATTGCACCAAATTCCTTGAGTCCATAGCATATGCTTTGGATTCTCAACTCTTTATGGGGTTCTCTGTCCCCAAGTGGACTTGGAGTAGTAGTTCAAGGAGGAACATGCCCCAGGACATTCCCTTCACCGCTCCCCCCTTTCTCTTCACTTTCACACACCAAAATACAAAATGGGTTACAACCCTCTCTCTTTCGGAGAAACGCATGTCTGGAGCAACTTCCAAGACGAGAGTTGTGTGTGTTTTGCTTTTGCTTTATTTATTTATTTATTTTTTGTTTATTTTTTGTTTTTTTTAATGTTTTTCCCAAAACCTTCGGTTTTTGTTTTTAAGCATTTCTGGACGAAGCTTCACAACGTCGACGCGTGTGTTTTGAAGACAGAAAATACGCTTCACTGCAAGAATATGCCGATGGAACTATCCGTTGTGGTTTAGCTGCATGAGAGAGTCTGTTTCTCTTTACAAAAGAACACAACAGAGGCTGGACGCAATCTGCTCCATCTTTGACTGACTGTGTACGGTGTTTTGTTTTTGTGTTTTTTTGTTTTTGTTTTTTCTACATTCATGTACGATGCACTTTCTAAAGAAGACCGTAACACGAGATCACCAGCGTAAAGTTATTAACCTTCACTCAAATCCCAATCACGTTACCTGTGCACAGCTTTCCAAGCCGTGCAATGAATTGAAAGTCGTCGTGGGATGCTATCCCGGTTAATGAAAAGCAGGCTTTGCTCTTTATTTCAAACCAAAGGCTACCGGGATTGATTTCGCTATTGGTAAAACGAAGTTCCCAACAATCTACCCATAGTTTAGGGGGATGCCTGCACACGCGGTTGAACATGCCAATGAGAGCTGTTTTAGTGTCGCAAGGTAGGAGTCACCGTTCTGATTGATTTATTTTGAGCTGACACTGTTTTCAGCTTCTGAGAGGTGGTGCAAAAAACCCTGGTGGAGGAGAAAGAAATGAAAATGGGACTAGCTGGGTCCTTTTGCAGATTCTGTTGCAGACCTAGACCTGTGTCGCAAGTCCCCTGGCTCTGCAACTCCACTTCCACCGGCAGGTCTGATGCCTGGACATTGTGGCCTGATTTCACCGTCAGAAAAGACAGTCGTTGTCTCTATCTTCTCCTGATGCTTCTGGAATCTTGGTACTTAAGCAGCATTCATTGGTATGTCTGGAGAATGATTTGGGTTCAATCTGTACGCATTGTGTTTCTTGGGGACGACTGGTGAGTTATTGCAACGGTAAGAACTTGAATTTTGAAGCAGAGCACGTGCAGATTGCTACCTAGGATGATTGAGTCGTGCTAGCCTTGATTATGGCCCATTCCGTGGGTTCATAATCTTGCTTGCAACATACCTGTGGCTTTGCGTTTTGAGGTTTGAGGTTGTTGGACTTCTGGGGTTGTCGTTGTAGGAAGCGATGAGGTTTGAGGAACCCATGTGGCCAGGTCCAGGTTGTGTTGGAGTTTGTCTGTTTTGTCCCCCAGTTGCTTTCCATGTATTCCAACACCTCGATTTCTGGGCTTCCAAGGTGGCCTGTTAATGCCCACAGCATTGTGGGAATAACAATGGTGTGCTAATTTCAGATAGAACATGAGCTAAATTTAGCTTTCAATAATTCGTTTTAGGAATCATGATGGGCACCTGTAGCTCTGGTCCACACATTGTATGACCCTCAAGTCGAATGTTGCGAAGGTTAGTCGTGAGTTAGAGGGTAATGTTGGTGCTTCAAATCCAAGATAGTCGCAAGTGCTCATTTTCCGCAGTTGTAGACAACGGTGATTTTCCACATCTTACTAATGTAACGCTCTCCGCATTTTTTGCTGCAGCGAGGGGTGTTTTTTGTGAAGGAAAAAGAATACAATGTATCGCGGGACATGGACGTGGGTGGTAGTGCTGCTGGCCCTGTTTCTGGCGAGATCGGCTGCGGCTGAAGTCGCTGGAAGCACCAGCCGGTACGTGAGACGATTGGCGGAGAGTGTGGATTTGCCATACGATTCACCGTACTTCTCCGTGCCGCCGGGCGAGAATCCTCCGCAACAGGTATGTTGCAGTCGAGAAATTTTGTGCTTCAAGCGTGATCAAATTGACGATGATTGAAAGATTTCTGAAAATAGGCTCACAGATGTTCGCATTCTATTAGGTCACCTCCCTCCTACAGCCGCTCGCTTCTTAGCTGATAACAGGTATCGAGGATTAAGTAGCTATGGTTGTTTTTCAACGATAGGGGACTGTCAATTTTGGATGTTCAAGCTGGGCTAGCCTCTCTCTGTGGCAATTCTTGCCCCAAAAAATATCGTCATTAATCATCGGGTTTATCTTAGTAAATCCTTAGAAGGTTAAATCGTGTAAAGGCATGTCTGCAGCAAATGTTCCTTTTAGTGTTTGGTTCTGCCAATAGAATTCTGTGACGAAATGCCATCATTCAATGCAACACATAATTTTTCTGAAACTGAATCCCTGATAGTTTCCCGTTGAGAAGACTTTCTGTTAAGTAGCTCTAAATCCCAAGTAAACCCAAGAAACGGTCTTGGATAACGAAGCAGGCAAGGTTCGGTGGGATATGATCTAATGGTGGCTCTAAAAACGTGTCAATGGGAAACCGAGTTTTAAAATTAGTTCTTGATACGATGTAAATTCCGGAGAGTTGATGACTTTTTCTCGAAAGATGCTTGGAAGAATGTTAATTCGAACTGAGATTTTCAAGTGCGACAACTGTTTGGATGCTGTGTCTGCGCCTAGAAAACGATTTCCACTAATGAAACGTTCAGTTAAGACGGTCTGGTGCAATCGACTGCAACACTGGAAAAGTGACATGCATTCGATTCAATTCATAAAAGTGTGGTGCTATGATTTCGGCAGGTGCATCTGACGCAAGGAGATTACGATGGAAAAGCCGTCATCGTGTCTTTTGTCACAATCAAAATGGCCAGGCCCAAGGTCCATTATGGAACCAAGAAGGGCGATTACCCTTGGGTGGCCAGGGGATACAGTACTCAGTATTCGTTTTATAACTACACGTCGGCTTTCATCCACCATGTTGTAGTTTCTGACTTGAAGGTGTTGATATTTTCTGCATACCCACACTCTCACTTCTCATCCAGAAAGAGCAACCTAAGTAAAACATCCAAACCCCTTTGCCAGAACTTGTCGCTCACATCGATACATTTGCTCAACAAGCACCATTGGAAACATGATAACAACAAGAGCTGTATTGTCATTCAGATGTGTGAGCCACTCCGTTCATTGAACTTCTGATTGTCCATCGGAAACTGATCATTGGTACCCTTGTTACGCTGCAGTTTGACACAAAGTATTTCTACAAAGTTGGAGAGGGGGATGATGCGCGTGAGTTTTTTTTCATGACACCGGCAGCCCCTGGACCGGACACTCCCTACACTTTTGGAGTTATCGGTGTGTTCCGTTCCTCTATTGAATTTCACAGAAGACTAGTTTTTTCATGAATCTGTGAAGCTTAGCAATGTGGCTTTCGACAAGCTCATTAGACTATCATCTTATGATTCAATCAGGAGATTTAGGACAAACCTATGACTCAGCCGCCACTTTGGAGCATTACTTGCAAAGTTATGGCCAATCAGTACTTTTTCTTGGTGACCTTGCTTACCAAGACAATTACCCATTTCATTACCAAGTCCGTTTCGATACGTGGAGCCGGTTTGTTGAACGCAGTGTGGCTTATCAGCCGTGGATATGGACATCTGGAAACCATGAGATTGATTATGTCCCTGAAATTGTAAGTATTGTCATGAAATTACTTCTAAGGTCAATTGCTACAGCTGTATTAAGTTCTACCTTTGGTAATGTAACACGATTCAAGGTATTAATGAAATAGTGAGATTCATGGTTTGTTTTGTTTCTCAGAGTGAGATTACTCCATTTAAACCTTTCAATCATCGGTTCCCTACACCATACTGGGCAACCAACAGCACTTCACCCCAGTGGTATTCCGTCAGGCGTGGACCAGCTCATATCATTGTTCTCTCATCCTATTCTGCCTACGGTATTCTTCCCTACCGATCACATCTTTCAGGTGTAGACCTTCAATATGCATCCTGAGAATCGATTACTTCATTTAATTAATCTGTGTTTGAGAAGCCTTTGGTTACTTTTTCGGGTGTGCTGATATGTTTTGGGTTGTCACAGGTAAGTACACACCACAATATGTCTGGTTGAAAGATGAGCTTAAGAAAGTCAACAGGAAAGTGACTCCGTGGCTCATCATTTTGGTGCATTCGCCGTGGTACAACTCTAACACTTATCACTACATGGAGGGTGAGAGCATGCGAGTGATGTTCGAGTCGTTCATTGTAGCTGCCAAAGCCGATATCGTGTTTGCTGGACATGTCCATTCATATGAACGCTCCGTAAGTTCCTTTTCTGTTTAATTTGACTTTTTCTTGATTGATTTCATTGATCTGAGGGTCGCTCCACTGTCTTTTTATATCGGTTGTTCAGTCCATCTTGATATTCATTGTTAAGAATACCCTCTCCAGTAGAGCTGAAGCTCGCTTGAGTTTTATCGTTACAGATTTCTCTAGCCTAATTTTACGATGTGGTCTTAATGCAGTTCCCAGTGACGAATATCAAGTACAACATTACCAACTCTATCTGCTCTCCTGATGTAAATCCGTCAGGTCCAACCTATATTACTATTGGTGATGGTGGTAATATTGAAGGCCCGGCCGCAACGTAAGTGCCCAATTTTCATATATGATCCCTTTAGACGATTGTGTATAGCAATTTTTTCTTACGATTATTTATGTGTCTTACCGCTGTTAGCATTTGGATCAATGATTTTAGTTTCAATTTCATTAGGAAGGGACATTGTCATGATTCCACTGCAAATTTCTCCATTTCTCAATTTTCATCCAAATTTTACTACATGATTACAGGTTCTCAGAACCACAACCTTCCTACTCAGCTTTCCGTGAAGCTAGTTTTGGGCATGGATTACTGGATATCAAGAATCGCACAACTGCGATTTGGACATGGCACAGGAATCAGGATGGGGAAGCTGTGTCAGCTGATAAGGCAGTTATTCGCAACAAGATATATAATTAAGTCAATGTTTACTTGAAAATCTAGAGAAACATTTGAAAAACATTGTCACTAGCTGTAAATATTGGCAACGGTTTAACGATGAACAGATTGATTTGAAGTTACAATTTGTTAACAAAGGAATTATTTACTTTTGATTAGCTTTTAATTTGTTACACGGTATATTAACAATATATATATGTTACACTTTGCAATATTTTTTTTTTCACTTCGGATAAGAGTGAAAGTAAAAGGAGAAAGTCGCTACTTTCTAAATAAAATATTGTATGCAATTGCAAATACATAGAGAGAAGTTATTTTGCTTACATTAACAAGCAAATAGTGCTATTAGGATATTACGTTTGTACACTACACAATTTTTGATTGTATACTTTTTCATTTCCGAGTGTGTCTAAATGTAATTGTATGTAATGGACAGGATTTTCATCACTAATTAGTGATTGCATTTACACAATATAATGTATGAGAAAAGATTATACCGAAAATTTATTACCTTCAAATTGAAGTTTTCATCATGTTTTGACACTAACAATTGTATGTCCAAAACTACACAGAAATTCGGCTAATGTACGGACGGGAAAAAAATCTCGCAACAATGATTGCAAAAAACTGGCGAACTATAAAATCTTCGTAAAACTTTCTACAATCGCAGCACTGCTTTAGATGAGAATGTAGTCGGCACAATCGCACAAATTGTTCGTGCAGCTTATCTCGCAGCTTACATGATCATGGCAAGTGCGACAGCAGCAGATAGAGCGACAACAGCGGACCCAGCGGTGAAGGACGAGTCAGCACCGCCGGATTCCGGAGGAGACCCAGGCACTGAAGCTGTGGGAGCAGTAGGTGATCCTGGGACAACACCGTTACCTGTGGGGGCTGCGGTATAATCATTCCACACATTGCGCTGTTAGTTATATCATGAAATGATGCCGATTACAGCAAAACTTGAGATAGAATTGAATAGGATGGGTTGAAACAACACGTCTAAAACATACCAGGTGACATTCCGGGAGATCCAACTGGTGATGGTGAAGGCTCCAAGTTGTAAATTGGGATTGCAGTCAAAGTTGTGGCAGGAAGCAACACAGTGTTTACGATATGGACGACGGAGTTGCAGACTCGAAGGTCAGCGGTGATGACCGTAGCATTACTTCCCGCACCGATGAAGGATACGACAACCTGTATTTCAGGGAACAACTTCAGGATACAACCGCGTTGTGGACATAACATACGCACTGAACCCTACTGGTGAAAATCAACTGACAGTTTTGGGCGCTTACGGTGGGCGTGGCAGTCTTGTCCACAGTCAATTCATAAGCTTTCCCGAGGGCGGTAGTCAAAGTTTGTCCGTCCGTGAGGTCAGCTGCAGTAGCGGGACTGGGGACGATGTGGTACAACAAGATACTGGCCGCACGGTTACTTCCTCTGCACATCGTCGCAAATAATTAGATAACTTCCATACACACCACTCACATACTAACCAAATGTATCAGGTACCTCTGTAAATCGGCAGCGGCCCGGGGAGAAGGTGAAGCAACTGAGTGGATGGTTGATAGAGCACACTTACGGAGCAGTGACTTGCTCCAATGTCAAGTTGTTGGCAGCAAGGATGGAGAGTAATCCACCAGTTCCATTGAAGGCATTGTTGTCTGGTGCTAGGACAGTGACATTGTCGGTCATGCTGAGTTGCTCCGCGAGACCCGAGGCTTCAATAACATCTGCGAGAATTGAGAGACTAGGCTGTGCGCGTACTGCTTCCAGGAGATTTGTATTACACTGCACGGTGGAATAATGTCAGAAAAGTCCGCCATCATTTTACAATTAAGGAACCGCAATCACATCAAGGGTTCGTTCAAGTGAGAATTCAATATACTGCAAAGAAATCTTCGCGAATAACAGTGTACTCATCCGTAAGCTGATGACCACTCTCTATCGAACAGTACATTCACTCGCAACAGTGACCATTCTCTTCTACTGGTTGCCAAATAATTTTCGGTAATCATCTACCCAATTCTGTACCTGTTGTGCAGAAATGTGTGGCACTACTGCCATCACCACCAGAAGTGCGAGCACATAACTGCGAAGTGCTGCTGAGGATGCCATTGCAACCATGTCCAAGTTCAAATCACGGTCAAGGATTGGTGGTACGTAGTGGCGTTCTGATGGTCACTGCTGTTAGAAATGAATAAATTGATTCACATCGTCGTGATAGATAGGTGCGAGATATATATATATATATATATATATATATAGATGTGTGGTAGTTTCCTATCGATGGACCTGGAAAAAGGTAATGTGGAGTAGGTGGGACGAGAGATGGTTGACGTGGGAAGCTGGCTTTCACATCTTGCTTCACGGACCACTTGGCATTACTGTTGTGGTTGTTTTGACGACGAAGCATCCAGAAAGGTTAAGAGGAGTGGGCCCATGCTTTCTATATTCGATCTGCTGCTTGCTCCGAAGGAGAGGTCAATCCTTGAAACGGTTAGGTGTACGACCACAGCTCCGAATGCTTTGTCCGTGCAATTCACAGACTTTTTCACCATAGATATAGCAGTCAACGAACCTGGTTTTGGAAACACTTTTACTACCTTCGTACCATATGCACCCACATGCAGTTTCGCCGACTTTGCACAGAACAGAGCGGAAGAGTACTACTTTTCCATTTTTGCAAGCTTCTGGAAGCTGCGGAAGGGACTGCAAAAAGGCCTGAGTTTGGCAGGATGGTAATGTTGTTGTGCAGACAACCACATCCGAATGGAAAGGAAATGAGAAAATGGCTTTTCCTCGGCGACTCTGACGCAGTGCGTCGGACCCCGCTTCCTCGAAGTTGCTGCTCCGGCCAACTCCACGGCCTTGGTTACGATGTTTCTTAGCATCTTCGCTTGAGGGAACTTCGTCACAGCTTCGAGTTTGTGGAGGATATTTCGGTGCATGTTTGGGTTTGTTTGTTTGCATGTATGTATGTGTTTGTGAATGTGAGAGAGGGAGTGAATGAGAGAGAGTGCATGTGATATTTGTTTTTGGAATTTAAACTGCAGCAGAAAATAACTTTTTTTTATTCCTATTAATATTAGGGATTACTATTTTAATTAATTAATTAATTAATTAATTAATTGGATGAGAGAAACAGTTGGTCATTTGTAGCTAAAAAAATGTTCTAAAACAGTTTTGATGTAAAGAGTATTATTTGATTGTCGACATGGTGAATTTTTGAATAACTTAGTTATTATTATAATTAGGTAATAAAATTATTTTTTTAATGTTGATTCCAATAGAAAATTGTGGATTTGAAGGATGTTTATGTGATGTTAGATTATAACTTAAAATTTTTTTTGGATTTATTTGGTATAAATATTAAAAAATTATAATGTATATTTTTGGTACATATCCATTGGTTGTAAACTTTGTAAACTATTACAAATAAACATTATGATACTTTTTTTTAGTTGCATCATACAAAGAAAATACAAAGATGATTAAGTATAGTAAAACACTAAATATTCTTTTATAGAATTAATTTAAATAAGTAGAAGAATATTAATATTTAAAAATATATTTATTTAAAAAAATTAAAAGTTTTATAATCATCTTTAAATAGAAAATTATAAGATCAAATAATAATTAAAAAATATAATAATGTTTGCTAGAAATGTTAAGTAGAAATTAGATTAGTAGTACTGTAGTTTAAAAGTACATTAAAGCACTTTCCAATCATAATGTTTTACTTAAATAATTAGAATAAACTCATTTAACCAAATAAATAATTGTGTAACTGTTGCAATAACCTTAAATTACTAAAATTTGTATTTAATAGAGATGTTTTTGTGATAAAAATGTATTATAAAAAATTACCTATTATAATGCAATCTTTGAAAGTTGTTTAAATATTTTTTGGTTGAAAATGAAGTTAATATAATAATTTAAACCTTCTCAAAAGTTTATGTTGATATATGATCATACAGAAATAAATGAATTTTATTGAATCAATTTATTGTTATTTTTATGTAAATTTATTTTTTAGAAAATATTATAAAATATTTTAAATTCAAAAAATATATACGTAGAATATATGTTAAATAAAAATGACGTTATAGATAAAATTATGCATGTTACTACATTGTAAATGTGTATTGGAAATTAATTAATTAGTTTTTTTTATAATTATTTATCTCTACAAAAATAAATATACAAAGAAGATAATTTCAAAACTTCAGAAACATACTTTAATATTTTATAATTCTTATTTATATATCATGTATATTATCGTACTCTAACTAATTCAAGCAATAATGGATTTTAAGTAATCTATATATATATATATATATATATATATATAAATACAATACATTTTACCAAGCACAAAAGTGCTCTATACAACAATTAAAAATGGAGACGGGGAGGGGAGAAACAAGAGAAAGAGGAGAGGAGGTGGGTGGGAGCATGAGGAGGTCAAGACTAAATACACGGACTGGGAACATGGACAAAAGACAAGTTAACAATATGAAGTGATTTTATTATAGATTATGTTTATATTAAGTAATATTTTATACATTCATATTCAAAAAAAAAATTAATGAGCTAAAAATTATTTTAATTAGATATTTTAACTTAAATCTTATTATAAATTTATTTAATTGGATTTGATTTATATTTATTAAGTGTCCATAGATTTACTTCTTGTTTTAAAAATTTGAATGTATCTACAAACTATATTATTAGTTAATTTAGTTATACTTAAACAACTTTATTTTCAATGTTGAAATATAAATTTTTAAATTTTTTCACAAAGATTGAAAGTGTATTGACAAAAAAGTCTCTCTCTCAATATATGTATATCTATATATAAAATTTTTAAAAAATATATTTTTTCAATATTTGTATACCTTTTATAAGTTTATAAATTAACATTTTTTTAGAATAAAGAAGAAATCGTACTTCTTTTATATATTTTTCTTCAATTTTGAATGTAATATAAAAGTACTCTACTTATTTGTGTTTATTTCTTATGTATATCTCTCTCTCTCTCTCTCTCTCTCTCTCTCTCTATATATATATATATATATATTTATACATATAAGGTGTTGCTATTGCTACCACAATCTTTGTTACTACCTCCACAATTTTTGCCAATGCCACCACAAGCTGCCCTAAACTCCATAAATCTATTGTGTTAAAAAAGCTATTCTTAAGCACCTACATTAGACATTGCTCCTGATCCCCAAAATGCCCCAGGAGCCGCCGCATCCTCATCAGTGGCACGTTGGAGTTCTACGGAGTGTTTAAGTCGGTCGCCGACAACTCTCCCACAGATTCTCCCCGTGTATCCAGAAATCGATTGAACTCACCCAACTTATGAAGCATCCCCCGTTCACTGATTAGAATACAAAGCCATCCTATTGCATTGTCGGCCGATCGTGTGGGTGCAGCTTTAAAAATAAAGCTACAGCATGGGATTGAGGATCCACAGTAACTGGTCTTTGCTAACTAAAGGCTCAATAGTAGACACATACAATAATGAGCCTTAATTTGAACCGAACCACTCCACTAAGAAGCAAGATGGATTTGAGACTTGAACTTGAGCTCTTAGTGTAAAGCAAACTCATGAACCCTTGACCTACTCAATCACGAGTGCAACTCAGCCACGTAGATGCCACATAGGATCATTATGGCAGCCACATGGGATGTTCACTCGTGAGTGAATCAACTGGGTTGTGGTGCTTTTGTGGAGAGGGAGGTGAGCTGCAGTCGCAAGCCGGTGGTGACTAGGTCGGGAGCTGCATCGGCGATTGGGGCGCTGTTTTTTTCCCTCTGAGTTCTTAGATCTAGGAACCCAATTGACCCATGTTATTGAATGTCTCGTAGTGTAGCTACAGTATGGCCTTTGTATTATCGTTCATGTTTTTTCTGGTTTGTTATGACGCACTGCTGTGAACGCTGCTAATTTGATCAGCTTTGTTTGATCGTCTTGCCCCTCGGCCGTAAGCAATTTTCTCTGCGGCCTCTGGCGCGTTGCGATTCTGTGAGGCTCCACAATAATGTCGTGGAGTCTTGCATTGCTCTTGGGTGTACTCATCTCTTTTGCAGAACGCGCCATGATAGGGACTCTCTACTCAAGGACCATAAATCTTAAACGGGGGATGATTCACCGGTGGGTAAGTTCAATTGACTTCCGGATACACGAGAGAATCCGTGGGAGAGTTGTCAGCAACGGACTTAAACACTCCGTAGAACTCCAAGGCATCACGGATGAGGGTGCGGCGGCTCATAGAGCATTTCTTTGCACAGCAACAATGTTTGGAGTTGGTGATTAAGATTAGATTTTTTAACACAAAAAATTGTTGGAATTTAGGGTAGTTTGTAGTGGAATTAGAAAAAAATTGTGGAGGTATGTGGTGGATTGCAAGTTGTGGTAGTAGCAAAAATTGTGGTGGCAAATAGCAACACTCTATATTTATATATTTATTTATCTTTAAATTATCATATATTTTACAATACTCTTTCAAATTTTATTGATGAAATTTAACAAAATAAATAACACAATGTTATTGTTAGACCATTTAATTTTTTGAATAATTTGTGTAGGTTCTATTGTTATACCTATTAAAAAACTATTTGAGATGGTGCAAACTTCAATAGTCTTATTGGACATTGTTTTCTTAGGAAGAAATAAATTTTATGTACTATTAGTGTAGATTGATGTAATTTGCTATTAAGACTTTTCAAAATTTTAAAATAATTGGATTTAGTATTCATCAATATGGTTTATAATGGAAGATGTGTATACCAAATTGAATCAAAAGATTGTGCTTGAAATTTGGTAGTTTTATTTTCAAAGTCAAGAAAATTATCTTATTATGTATTAATTAAAAATATAGTTGAATCTAACAATAGTTAAGATATATATTGGTGGTTTGACTTCATTGGTTAAGATTAGACTATTAGTATTATAGATACTATATTTACAACATCACATAAAAAATATATTATCTATTTGAGGTGATTTCAATTACTTACAAAGTTGTTACTTGTATTTATGCTGTAATACTACCATTAGATAAAAGATTATATTATAGAGGAGTTTAAATAAAAATACTATAGCAAATTATCTTTGAAACATAAATAATAGACAAGGATGTAATAAAAATTAATAATGGTATTATCTTATGCTTACTTGTAACTCCAAAAGTTTAAGTAATAAAATGTTTTTATATTAATTTTAGC